TCATCAAAGAGGCATGTCTGGCCAGGCACTGTGGGCTCATGTCTGTAATCCCAGTGATTTGAGAGGCCGAGGTGGGTGGATCACTTGAGGTCAAGAGTTGGAGCCCAGCCTGCCAACATGGTGAAATCCCCATCTCTACTAAAAATACAAAAAAACTAGCTGGGTGTGGTGGTGCACGCCTGTAATTCCAGCTACTCCAGAGGCTGAGGCCGGAGAATCACTTGAACCTGGAAGGCAGAGGTTGTAGTGAGCCGAGATCACACCACTGCACTTCAACCTGGAAGACAGAGTAAGACTCAGTAGGGTGTGATGACTGGCATACCTCAGTGCCAATAAATGATTCACCTCTCCTGTCAAAGTCTTCCGACTCTGCCCTCTTTAGGAGCAGTTTTCTGTGACTAAATCTGTTGAGTTCCCTTGTACAACCCTATCCCAACATACAAATGGATTTTTGTGAATATATGATGGAATTATGTACATAAAATCTGTTCAGATATATGCACCTAGAAACAGAAGTTCTGGCACCCTCTCAGAATGTCAAGAAATCATCTCCGCCAGGCCCTTACCTTGATTCAGGTAAGGTTTATTTACCTTGTTTGGCAGATGGTATAACTAAGACCCAGAGAAGTTAAGAGAAATGCCCAGAGATGGATCTGTTTCCCATGCTGCCACCCGCTCCCTATGTCCATAGCAGATGTTGTCACTCAGTCGCATTGCTCATTCCCATTGTAAGGCCCACTGCCCATTCTCTAGCAACCTACAAATCTCTCAGAGTTGACATTCAAGACCTGTTTGTCATCCTAGCATGTCCTCGAGTATTAAAAACTGGAAAAAAGGGCTACAAATCAGTCTCTATAGTCTCCTAGTGCACTGTTCTTTCTGAGACATTTTCCTGTAAATTCAGAAAACCCGTGCAGACTATGTTCCTGTTATCTTTAATACCTAGTATGTTTTGTTAACAAAAAGATAACCTCCTTTTTTCTTCTGTTTGAGACAGGGTCTCACTCTGTCACCCCAGGCTGGAGTGCAGTGACGCAGTCATGACTCACCTCAACCTTGACCTCCCAGGCTCAGGTGATCATCCCACCTCCTCCTCCCCAGTACCTGGGCCTACCGTTGCCCACTACCACACCTGGCTAATTTTTATATTTTTAAAAAAATTTATTTTTGTATTTTTTTGTTGAGACAGAGTTTTGCATGTTGCACAGGCCGGTCTCCAACTTCAGGGCGCAAGTGACTCGCCCACCTCGGCCTCCCAAAGCAAGGGGCTTATATGCGTTAACTACCGTACCTGGCCAAGTGAGCCTCTTTGAGTCTCAGTTTCCACGTTATAACATGGAGATTATTAAGATTTCCTTATTGGGAGGGTTAACTGATAAGCAAATGCAAAGTACCTGGCACAATATCTATCATATAATGGGTGCCCTGTTCATGGTAGCTCTTATTATTCATATTTTATCAGCAGAATGTCTACCATCTACATGGTGGATGACATCCACGTGGTGGTTATCAGGCCATCAGGCTGTTCACAAGTATTTTATTTATTTTCCTGAAATATGTGGCATGCTAATTGCATTTCACTACCACATTCAAATTATTTGTGACCAAATGGCTTGCTTTGGACAAAAAATAATAATAATAATAAGAGCAAGAGATATGATTTCTGAGTAGAAACATTTAATTGCTGCTTTTCTCCTCCAGTCTTCCTTTTCTATGTTTTTGTGACTGTCTGTGGAGACAGATGTGAAGATGGATCATCCATCAACCTAAGGCTGAGTACCTTGATAAGCAGAACCTCAGGTGACCCCTGTTGGACATGTCGTGTAAGTGAGAAATACACCTCTTGGGTAAGGCCAATGAGATTTTGCAATTGTTTCTAATCCATCTTGATGAATGCATCAAGTTTCCAGGGAAGCGGAAACTTCTCTCATAACAGAGAGGGAACCTGAAATATTTATATGTCTTGAATACTCATGTCCCCCAAAGTAATTTTCTCACTCTTCAACATAGTCCTGGGTAATAATGCTGCTTAATATCCAGTGCCACTACATGCCAAGCATTTTTTCTGAGGATTTCATGCAAGCCGATGTGTATATTTTAGTACCATGTCTGGCACACGGTAATTGTCCAAAATTATTCTAATCATCACACCATGACTGTCATCATTATTATGCATCATCTCCAGTCCTTCTGACAGCCCAGTGAGGGAGGGACTATTATTATCTCCACTTGACAGAAGAGGAAGCCAAGGCACAAAGTCATTAAGTAATATGCTCAAGGTCTCAGAGGCAGAAAATAATGCAGCAAAGGTTTGGTCCAAGACTGAAACCAAATTTCTCATCTTTTCCATACTGCTCCATTTATTTCCCATTAAGGACTATCAAATTCCATGTAATAGACTTTCCTGAACAATTCTGCTTCCCACTGGTGTGGCAGCTGCCCCAACCTCAGAATAGTGGCCCTGGTTGTACCACCTGCAGCTATGTAGACTAATCCACTGAGGGACAGAAAAATTGGATTCCCTCAGGCTAATCCCTTCATGGAAATTAAAACTTGGCATTCAGAAAGAGGATTTATATTTTTCTACCAGCTTCAAGATTCACTACCAAAAGGGATTTCCCCCTCCTTCCTTCATTTTCTTCGAAATCTCTAGGTTGTCTGTCACTTATTTCTGTCTCCTAAGTAGCATGAGATGAGGGGCCAGTGACAAGTTTTTCCTTTCCTGCTCATCCTCCTAGACCTGCAGAGTCCACACAGGGAGGTAGAGAGAGAGAATCCAAACACAGACAGACCTACCAACCAACCTCCACTCACCACATCTGCCTCCAGGCCATTTATTTCATTAAAGCACAGGATGCTCAAGAGAACTCAGAAAAAGGGACCATTTCATTTTTCCTACACTTTGGAAATTAAAATTATTTCCAAAAAATAATTTGCTTTGTTCTTCGAGAAAGCTAAGGAGAGGAGAAAAGAGGTCAAAGGAGTAAGAGATTAAAAAAAAAATGAGAGGCAGAAAGGAGAGTGGGAGAGAGAGAGAACAGAAAGACACACAGCAGTCTTTAGAAAGACTAGCATATGGAAAGATACCCAGCACATTGAAAGGCCAATACAGGAGGACTGCTTGAGCCCAGGAGTTTTAGACCAACCTGGGCAACATAGTGAGACCCTATCTCTACAAAAATTTTTCAAAAATTAGCCAGGTGTGGTGGCATGCACCTGTGGTCCTAGCTACTCAGGAGGCTGAGGCAGGAGGATTGCTTGAGTCCAGGAGATGGAAGTTGCATTGAACTTTGATTGAGCCACTACACTCCAGCCTGGGTAACAGAGTGTGACCCTGTCTAAAAAAAGAGAAAAACAAAATATATATATAAAACGTGTGTGTGTGTGTGTGTGTGTGTGTGTGTGTTTGTGTGTACGTATGCAGAGAAAGAGAACAGAATAACGTTAAGATTGGTTTTGTGTCTTCATTATATCAGCAGCCCTTTGATTTTTTTTTTTATTTTAGTTGGTACTGCTTTGTCAATTACCCACATTTGGAGTGTTTTATGGAATCCCCTTCCTTGTGCTCCCTCTCATACCCCAGAAAAGCCTCTAACTCAATGGTTCCCACAAGTCTAGTTTATATCTCTGGTTCATCTTGAAATGACATGGGGTATTGGAAAGGGGAGACTTTTTAGTTCAACTAACCTGTATACAAAATACAGTCCTAGCCCATTGTTTTCATTCAACTAATACTTATTGATAACTGTATGTGTGCCAAGCACTGTTCTAAACACTGAGTTACAGTGAACAAAATTCCCTGCCTTCATAAAGCTTCCATTCTAGAGGAACAAACAGAAAGAAGGATATATAATATTTTAGTGGTAAGTACAATGGAGGAAAATAAATCATAAGAGGAGGATAAAGAGTACTAATACCGGAATGAGGCACGATTTTCAGTAAAACGATTGGGGTGGGCCTCACTGTGAAGGATGACACTGTAGCAAAGCCTTGTAGGAGGTGAACCCTGCAGGTTATCTTGGGGGAAAAGCAAAGACCAAGTGCAAATGTCCTGGAGTGAGGGCACTCCCAGCATGTGAGGGGGCCACTGAAGGAATGAGGAACAGTAAAGAGGAAGGTGTAACAGGTTGTAGGTCCTGGTGCAGTTGAAGAATTATTGAAGTTCAGACACTAGAGGGAGTGAACTGGAAAGAAAGATATCAAAAAGTGGGATGTATGAAATTGACTTTATGAAATGACTGCCATTCCCAGGCATAATCTAGAGTCATGGCAGTGAATGTCTGAAGTAGGACAGAAGAAAAAGCTACAGATGGTGAGAAGGTGAAGGGTATTGGAAGTCTCATTTATGTAGGTATTAAAGTACCTGAAAATTAGAGAAGAATGGTGTTGGACTATCATCGCCCAGTGGGTTCATTGTGCCCACTGTCCAGATAGAGCTGATGTATCAAGGTGGGGGAACTGCAACAGAGAAAGTTTAATACACACAGAGCCAGCTAAACAGATGACCAGAGTTTTATTATTACTCAGATTGCCTCCCTGAAAATTCAGAGGCTTGGGTTTTTTAAGGATAGTTTGGCAGGCAGGGGGCTAGGGAATGGGTGTTGCTGATTGACTGCGGATATAATCATAGGGGTGTAGAAAGTGGCCCTCACGTATTGAGTCTGCTTCTGGGTGGGGTGTAGCCAACTGGTCATCAGAAATGCAACACCCTAAAAAGACATCTTAAAAGGCCAACCTTAGGTTCTACAGTGATGTTGTCACTGAAAAAAAGGTTTTGGTGAGGTGCCGCCATTTCTTTCTTTCTTCTTCTTCTTTTTTTTTAAAGATGGGGTTTCACCATGATGGCCAGGCTGGTCTTGAACTCCTGACCTCAGGTGATCCACGCACCTCGGCCTCCCAAAGTGCTAGGATTACAGGCCTGAGCCACTGTGCCCGGCCGGGGTGCCGCCATTTCTTCTGTCCTCTGTCTCTGCATCTTTCGCAGAGCTTCCAGCAGCACCATGTTGGGCCAGAACATCTGGAGGTTCACAACCTCTGCGGTCTGTAGGTGCCACTATGAGGAAGGCCCTGGGAAGAATTTGCCATTTGCAGTTCAAAACAAGTGGCCGTTACTAGCCATGATGAATTTATACTTTGGATCTGGATTTGCTACAGCCTTGTTTATAGTAAGACACCAACTACTTAAAAAACAAGGATGTTTCAGCTCATCCATTTAACAGATATGAAGAGCATATTTAAGAGGTTCAGTCTCTGGAAAATGGATCAAACTCATATGGCATGCTAGATATGTGTGTAAATCAACATATGACACGAAAAAAAATAATAATGTTGTCATTTATAGGAGTAATTGGGGAAGTGGCAAATTTTGTGACCGCCCCCCCCTCAACCAAGAGCAATGGCTGGTTATTGGTGAACTATGCTTACATTTTAGCAGAATTCAGACCCCTCTCATCCTCCTAACCTGGTGGCCTTTCACTAGTTTTACAAAGGCAGTTTAGTTTTGGGAAGGACTATTACCATTTAAAGTATAAACTAAGCTTCTCCCAAAGATATCTTGGCTCACCCTCAGGAATGACCAAGGACGGCTTGGAGGTTAAAAGCAAGACAGAATTGGTTACATTAGATCTCTTGGACTGTCATAACTGTCTCACTGTTATAATTTTTGCAAAGGTGGTTTCAAGAGAGGATGACAGTGAGCCAGGTCCTACTCTTCAAAGAATTAGAGGGAGGGTCTGGAGAGCAATAGTTGATTATGATAAGAAGGGGAGGGAGCCTGTGACTTGCAGTTCAAGCTTCGTTTGGAGCAGTTAGTGAAGAAGGAGGAAAACAGTCTGAACACAGCAATAAGGAGCTATGGGGACACCTACCTTACACCAGGCCCGGTAGATAAGGGTCACTGGATAGAAGGCAGCCACCACTTGAGAGGACTATAGGGAAACAGGGTTCTCAAGGGAGAACCAGGTATCAGTTAGGGCAATCTATGGAGCACAGGGAGCTAAGGTTTCCTCTTGGCCCTAGAGGAAGGAAGCCCTCACAAGAGTATTCTGAATTCTACTTAGTTCCTGCCACATCTAACTCTGTGTCCTTGGGCAAGTTACTTGACCTTACTGAGCCAGTTTCATAATCCATAAAGTGACTCAATGAGACCTATCGTGCAGGACTGTTGTGAGGCTTAGAGCTGGACAACATCCAGAAAGCATCTAAAAGCTACAGCCAGCACATGGTAGGTGCTTACCACTGTCAGGCCCACAGCCTAGGGCTCAGGTTACACAGGTCTGAGTTCAAATCCTGACTCCAACCCTTACTATTACTATGTGACCTGGGGCTAGTTATCTAACTTCTCTGAGTCTTTGTTTTCTTCTATAAAAGATTGGAAGACTTATACCAGGCACGAACGATGCTTGTAAGGAAAACAAATGGAAAAATAATGTAAAGAGCTATTAAGTTTTGCCACCTTCTCCTTGCTAGGAGAAACTCCAAAGCGTAAAAAAGTAGTTTTCTCCTCCCTACCCCTAGCGATTTTTAAAGTAAATCAGCAGGCCTCTGTACTCTGCACTCTCTTGTCCCAGGAAAAATCAGCAGCCTCTTTGAGAAGTTTCAGAAGTGCTACTCAGGCATCGAATACATTAAGGGGTTAGGCAAGATCATGCTGAACTAAAAGGCAACAGAGACTAGAGTTCGGAGTTGACATTGAACTATGGGTAGCCCAAACCCAGGAAAGGACAGGCGAACTCCCTAAGATGGGGAAAAAGGGAGGCGTGGGTTCTGCAAGGAAGTGGCAGAGAGCTATTCGGCATTCTAAGGCAGACTTGGGGATGTGCAGGGCTGCTCCTGGGATACTGCATTCCAAGTCTTCACTTCTCTTCCAAGCCCATCACACTGATGGGTGTTTCTGTGGCCTGAAGTCAAGGGCACCACAGTGTATGTAGCGCAAACATGTTGCAATTTTTTTACCCATCCTATTCTTGGCTCAGAGTGTAGCAGTCCACCTGCTCAAGACGCAGTCAAATAGCTACTGCAGCAAGGTTACCCTCCATGCAGGTGTCCCTGGAGGTCACCTCACTCTTCGGCACAGGGGGGTTGGCAGCTTCTAAGGGTGCAGCTGCCTTGCCAGACATTTTAGGTGCTAGGATGAAGTCACCTGAATTCAGTGCCTTCTGCTTCTGTTTGCCCTCAATCCAGCTTCCAAATTTTGAACTCTTTCTACTCACTCGTTGGTGACTTAAGGCCAATCATTCAGGTAAAAATTTGCCTAGGGCTTGTCTTCTGTTAAATGGAAATAATTTCTCTTTATAGGATTTTTGTGTCTCATGAATAATAGAAACTCTGCAAATGCGTATGGAAATTAGGTGCAAAACAAATGGCAGCAGTAATAATGACAGAACTAGTAGTACTAGCAGTAACAGTAATACTATCAAGACAACAGATACGGTCACCAGAGGCTGGCCCAGCTTTCACCAGTCCCAAAGGTTGGCAGCGAAAATAGGAGAAAACACATTGGCCCAGCTGTCCTGAAAACATAGTTCTGCTCACGGCTTGGCTACAGACTGCCCTGGTAACACTGGTTAACCCCTCAAGCCTCTGCCTTTGTTTCTGTATATGTCAAGTTGGGATGGCCCCTTCCACTTTAGAAAAAAAAGTTGCAGCTGGAAGAGATCCTGGTGGGCAGGGAGAGATCCCCCAACTTCAGTGGACCTCAACCCCAGCCAGCGTTCAGGCTCTTACACCTTTGCAAGAAGGAATTCAAGGATGAGTTAGAAAATTGTGAAAGCACAGAAATTTATTGAAAAGGAAAAAGTACATGCTCAAAAAGGAGAATGTGGATGTACTTAAGAAAGGGGAGTGTGGGCATACCCAAGAGTCACGCATGAGGGGGTTTGGGGCTGCTACCTTTGTGGGTTTCTTTTCTTTCTTTCTTTTTTTTTTTTTTAACATGGGGTTTCGCCATGATGGCCATGCTGGTCTTGAACTCCTGACCTCAGGTGATCCACCCACCTCGGCCTTCCAAAGTGCTAGGATTATAGGCGTGAGCTACCGCGCCCAGCCTATGGGTTTCTTTAACCAAGGGGTGGAACATTCATGAAAGTTCCTGGGAAAAGGTGGACATGTCCCAGAACAGCAGTGTTATCCATTTTTACACCAAAAACTTTCATGGCACTGGTGGATTTAGTGTTTTCATGTGCATATGATGAGGTCCTGGGAGAATCCCAGGTAGAATTCAGTGCCATGTTGGGTCCAGTTGGTCTTAGCCAGCTTGCTCCACATGCTGGTTTTTCAAGGTCTTTGTCCCTGGCTTCTGTAGCTATTTCAAGTTTCCTTTTGCTAGTCATGTGAAACTGCTGCCTGGAATTTTCTATTCTACTGCAACTATACTATATTATTTCTGTCTCAAAGTGCCCTGTGAGAACATCTGGTCCAACTCTCTCTCCTCTGCACCCCACTTTATAGAGGGAAATAACTGAGACCAAGAAGGTATAGTGGCCCACCTGATTAGTGCAATGAACACTGTTTCCAAAACCATAAACGCTTCATTTATTTTTGTTTTGTTTTGTTTACTGACATGGGTTGGAAAGATTGTGCGGGAGGGGCAGAAAAAAATCTGTAAATGTGACATTCTTTTTCCTTGAAAGGTTTTTGATATATTGGGAAAACAAGTTAAATTCATGCCAGAAAAAAAAGTTTTTAAAAATGAGATAATATATAGGAATTTCTCTGAAAAATGTAAAAATATAGAGACAAATTATGGTAATGTAGAGGCCAACAGAAAACTTTCCCTTTGTTCTCGGAAGGTTCACTGAAAAATAAACTGACAAAAGGCAGATTAATAGGAGAAACGGCACACAAATTTATTAACATGCATGGGTGAGAACCAGAGAGTGATTGCCCCCACACCCCAGTACAGTACAGAATCTTACACACCATCTTGGGATTACAGAAACAATGGGAGCTCAGAGTATAGTTAAAAACAGATGATGGTGGTATATTAGATTATGATGGCAAGACAGGTTGTGGGAGGGAGAGAGGAGGAGACCTGGCTAGCAAAAGCGGTCTCGTTATACAGATGAAACCTCACATTTAGCAGCCTACTGGGAGAATAGATGGTAAATGTTTCTTTCAGATCTTTAAAGGTATCAGACTCTCTGTTACTCTTTTCCAAATAAGGACAAGATAAAGCTTCAGGGAAAGCCTGGCTGCCGCAATACAGATTCTCTACAGATGCAAATCTCCCCATCATAAGACAGCTTTGATGGGTCACCTCTGTTTACAGGCTCTCTGAACTGCCATCTCAAAATACATCAAAGAAGTATATTTTGGGGTGAAATATTTTGGTCTCCTTCAGTAGCCAGCCTGCAAGATGACCCCTCGTGACTCTACCCTTTGGTATTCACCCCCTTGTGTAGGCTCCTCCCACATTGTACCAGGGCCAGTCTCTGTGACCAATAAAAGATGGAAGAAGTGATGATCAGTCACATTTGAGATGAGATAATAAGATTGTAGCTTCTTCTGTCTTGGGTTGTCTCTCAGATTGCTTGCTCTAGGATGAAGCCAGCCACCATGCTGTGAGGACTTTGAGGAAGCCTATGAAGAGACCCATGTGACAGGGTATGCAGTCAATAGCCTGTAAGGAGCTGAGTCCTACTAACTACCCCATGGAAGCAGATCCTCCAGCCTGGGGTGACCACAAGCCTGGCTGACAGCTTGATGGCAACTATAGGAGATATCCTAAGCCAGAATCACTCAGGTAAATCTTTTCTGGATGCCTGCCCCATAGAAACTATAAGGTAATACATGTGCATTGTTATCAGCTGCTAAGTTTGGGGATTGTTATGGAGCAATAAATGACATAGATGATCATCATTCTTGTCTGGTAGAGGACCCTTGGATCCCCTCTTGCTCCCACCCAGGCCCCGGCCACGTGGAAAATACCTAACCTCACCACGTGGATATCCTTTGTCTCACACTGCCCAGCGTCCTAGCCCCAAGCACAAACGACCCTGGGTGACTTAGCAACTTTCTGCCCAGCAACCGATCAGACCAATCACCGACCACCTCATCAGCCCTTCGCTGACTTCCCGCCTGATGGTCAAACTGACCAATCACCCTCTGTCACATCAGCTCCTTCACTTCCCGGTTCCCCCACCTCTATAAAAATCACGGAACAAAGAAAACCGGCGCGAGACTGCTGACCCTCCCCTGCTGTACGGGTCCAGTCAGT